TTAGTAATCAACATTGCAAAATTTAAGATAGCTATATATGATTAAAGCTAAGCTGATAAAATAGTGGATATGTTGTCTTATGGGGCTTCCCGGGTGACTCAGCTGGTAAAAAATCTGCGGGCAATGCAGGAGGCCCTGGTTCAATTCATGGGTCAGGATGTTCCCCTGAAGAAGGGATAGGCTACCCACTCCAGTATTCTTGGGCTTCCCTGGTGGTTCAGATGGTAAAGAATCTGCCTGCATTGCGGGAGACCTGGGTTCTATCCCTGGGTTGGGAAGATCACCTGGAGGAGGGCATGGCAACCCACTCGAGTATTCTTGCCTGGAGAATGCCCCCCAGGGACAGAGGAGCCTTGCGGGCTACAGTCCATGGGGTCGGAAAAAGTTGGACATGACTGAGCGACTAAGCACAACACAGCACATGTTGTCATAAATAAAAAGGAAATAAAATTAAAATACAAATATGGGCACACTAGACCCCATCTTGGATTGTCAGTTGGTATCGGTGACCATCCTGTCTCGCCTTGGTTTTCATTCTGGCTTGTGTAGTACTGATTGCCGTGCTGTGCTAAGTCGCTTCAGTCATGTCCGACTCTGTGAGCCTATGCGCTGCAGCCTGCCAGGCTCCTCTGTCCATGGGGTTCTCCAGGCAAGAAGACTAGAGAGGGTAGCTGTGCCCTGCTCCAGGCGATCTTCCTGACGCAGGGATTGAACCCATGTCTCACGCAGCTCCAGCATTGTAGGTGGATTCTTTACTGCTTAGCCTCAGAGGAAGCCCTGTAGTACGGATTGCCTCTGAATTTTTTCATTCATGCCATGGGCCTCAGGCTCCCTGGGGTGTAGAAATAATTTGCTTAAATCCACATTGTTATCCATCAGAAGCTAACACAACATTGTAAAGCAATTACACTCCAATAAACGGACATTGCAGGCAGCCTGAAGCCTCAGATCGTCCAATAAGAGAATTCCACCTGAAAAGCAAAAGTGTGTTTATATTTTTTAACTTCCTTGTTCCACCTGAGACCAAATCATAAAAATATAAAATTTTCACAGCACTGTAGTGCAACCGATTTATAGAAAAATCCCATTCTTTCTACGATTCGAAGGATGTTTCACAGTAAACTCTACTAACTTTAATCTCTTACTCCACCCTCAACATCCATGATCAATTTCTCATAGGATTAGATATTATGGCATGATTTCTTAAGGGATTATACATATTCCCGGAACCTAAGATCTTAAAGCACATTTAAGCCAAAATTAATGTGGTTTCACCAGGTGTATGAAGAGATTCTTCCACTCTAGTCACAAATGCCTTATGGATGGTTAGCAGCGCCATCCAGGAGGGCTTGGCTTTGATTTGTAGATGCCCAAGAACTGTCTTTGCAGAGAAAATGTACAGAGAGAGCATTTCACTTTTATGTTTTTCATCAAACAGCTTCCTTGTGACAGAGGGAAAGGTATGAAAGTTGTTAGGGAAAACATGCTCTATTACCAGGAGGTTGTTTTTTCAGAAGTTAGAGGCTTGTGCGCACTGTGAAGAGAATACTAAATGAAACCTGGGCTAGAGGATTCCTTTCAGATAAGCAGCCTTTACAAAGCCATCTTTGCCTCATACAAACAAAATGGTCTACAGGTAGCTGCTTATAAATTATTTGGTCATAGAATTAAAGAAACTTTGATTCTAAAGTGTATGCTTCTGTATACCAGTATGAAATATGTAATACCCAAAACATTCTCAACCAAAGAAAGAATTGCAAGTCTACTCTTGAAGCTGGTGTTAGGTGGTTTGTAGGCTGCAGGAAATCTCACTTGAGTCTTCTTCAGAGCCTGGAATCTTACTTCCATAAGTTCAGTCCTTTGAATTAAGGCTTGTAATAAGAATTGTATGCTCAGTTTTTATTGGTGTGAACCAAACACTGTATGGGACAACATTTTAAAAAATTATAAATAATTATCCCCTTAGGAAATATTTATTATCAATTTTCTTTATCTCTCAAGAGCTACTTGTGAGATAATGGAAGATGATACCAAGGGCCAGGTTTTGCTAGGAGGTAATTAGGATGACAAACCTGAACACCAATGGCTTTCTAGGTAGGCAGACCTTAGGAACTCCAGGAAGCTAAAGAAATAGATGCAGGGTGTCCAGTATCTTAAAAGGGCAGGGGAGGAGATGCTATTGAAAACAAAGGTGCTGTGGGTAGCTTTGAGACCGGCTTCACAATTTTGCTTAGGTTCAATATGACCTCAGTTTCCCAGATCTCTGTTTCCTTGTGATTCTTGTTAAACAGTTCGCAATATTGATATTTTATTGGTGATTCTGCCCTTTTCGTTTTAATAGATTGGTTTCATTTATTACAGGATATTTAGATATGCATCTTTTAAACAAACACCAAAACGATTTACACCAATCAATCAAAACGATTGATTTTACAAAGCAATGTACACCATTGAGAGTGCAGAGTAAACACTCAAGAAAGGAAGGCTTCCCTCCCGCTGCAGATGACTTCCCGCAGCGTGGAGTGTTTCTCTCGTGCTCTTGGAAGGACATCGAAAGTCAATGGATTTCAGCTCCTCGTTTGCTTTAAGTTCCCACTCTCATCCCATAACTTCTTTATGGGTGTGAGGCTGTCACGGCTTACGCCATGACAGGCAGCCTAGATTAGGAGTAGGCCTGGTTTCCCGGGGTAACATAATTATCAGGCCTCCTGGAGCTAGCCAATCAACATATGCCTAGCAAGAAAAAAGGGAACCTATCAGGGGAAAGCTGAAAGCCCCACGTTGGGCCAACAAAAATTGCCTTGCAACTGTGTAACCAATCCGCTTGCGCCAACTACCTGCTGTGTAACCAATCCGCTTGCGCCAACTACCTGCTGCTTCTTTTTGACCTAATAAATACCCGAGAGAACTGGGGCTCGGGGCCTTTCGTACTCACACCCTTGGTGAGGGCGGGAGGTCCTGGCTCGAGTCAGTAATAAATTCCCCTATTGCAAGTTGCATTGTTTCGAGGAGTCTTCTTTCCCGACCGGGGACTCGGACTATGGGCAGAACAATGGGATGTTTAGATTTCCTTGTGGGCCTCTTAGGAATCACAAACTTCTTTACTCCTTAACTGTATATACTTCATTGCTGTAATTGGAGCTCTTTTGTTGCTGTAATTCCTTCATAATGTTACAGTTTTAGTCAGGTATCCTTTCCCTCTGGAGGCATTAATTGCTGCCAGTTTTGAAAATGCCCTTCATTAGTGTATACTTTTTGCTTCTGGTGATAAAACATGTCACTGTTTCCTATTTTTCCTCTAGGTGAAAAGAGTTTTTTTTGTTGTTGTTGTTCAGCATATGCCATGCCCTTTTTAAGCCCTGTAGTGTAATTTAGAGTATCTTTGTCCACCATCTGGAAAGTCAGAATTAGTCATGGTTTCATGTACTTTACCAAATTGCAGTACATGTCTCAAGATGCAAGATTTCAATTTTCTTTTATTTGCTGTTAGCTGTGAAATTGTTGGTCACTGGAGCTTATGACAGTCTGTCCTTGTTAAGGATTTACCTATGGCAAGTATAAACATATGGTTTGTAGTATGTCATTAAAATAAGTGGTTATTTTCCAATGACAATTCCTTTGCTGAAATACAAAGTTAAAATGGAAGAAACTTCTTCAAATGTAGCAGAGTGTACTGGAAATATCCTCTATTTTGAAATTGAGTGAGTATCTCTTTATTTAGTCCTGGTAACTACTTGAGATGATGGATACTATATTGAACTTTATTCCCTTCATTCACTTACGCACATACACACACTCAATGTGTGCACACAAAATCTATCTCCAACTAAAGAGGAAATATTGATTATTGGTTTACAAAAAACAACAAACACTCAGACATGTTTTGAAATAAAAGCCATTATCTGTCAACCAGCATGGACTGAGTTCCCACACTGAAGCTGTACCTGTTCTAGGCCTTAGAGAAAAAGAGTGTTAAGCAAGACAGACAAATTCATAACTCCCACAAAACCTGAGTTTTAGAAACTTGGTCTAGATTTGGTCATTTGGTCATTTCCAGTTTAAATCTATTCTGATCTTCCTCATCTGATTAGCTCTTTCTCATCTGAAAGGCCCTTTACGAAAGGGCCTTATGTGCTCCATCCAATAGGAACACGTTCTCCATGATAAGAGCACCAATTGGTGTTTTACTGTTTGGAATTATGCAATTTATTCTAAAGTCATCTGCTTCTAAGGGCAGTACAAGTGTATTTCATTATATAAAAATGAAATACACTGAAATTTATTATTATTTTACTGAACATAAATCAGGAAATAGATTCAATATACATTACCTAAGGACTGACATTTCAAGCCCCTTAGCCATGTGTTTCAGTAAATGTGATTCCTTGTTCATTTACTGCTGCATTTTGAATCATGGCCTCTGCCCATATGACTGTTGATGTCTCTTGCTGCAGCCTGGATGAACCCATTTCTTTCCAAGGCTGAGAGTTGCTACAAGCTAATAGAAAACCTTGGCCTAGCTACACAGAACTCTGATTATCATCATATATAGAACTCAAAAGAAGAATTGATGCAGAGTCCAGTTCATCTTTTTTATTTTAATTTTATTTTGTTTTATTAAAATAAAAACACAGGAACTCTCAATAGTTTTATAAACATTTTGCTACCTGTATTGACATTCTCAAGTATTTTCTTAATTCCACATTATTGATTTATACATATTTTATTGGAACATCATTTGTGAGTTTTTTAAATTTTATGATTTAATGCAAAAATTGCACATATCCACCCTTATAATGAAAATTTAAAATGTTGACCTAATCATACAAATATATATGTTGGGAGTGAATTTTGAGGATTTTGGTAACCTAGGTTAATTCAAATGTTAGGTAACAGTTATGAAAACATCCCAGGATGACCCAGAGAATATCAGGGAGTTCTGCATCCTGCTGTGGGATTTCTCTCTGAGATAAATGTCGGTCTCTGTGTTTTTTTCCCAGGAGGTCGAGTTGTGTCGTGTTAGCAGTCAAGAGAAGCTGGGCCTGACAGTCTGTTACCGAACGGATGATGAAGAAGACACCGGCATTTATGTCAGCGAGGTAAGAAACGCCATGGAAGAGAGATTAGGGGAGGCAGACAGCGAGCAATGGAGTGAAATGACTCACGATGGGAAAATCCTTGGGAGGCTTGAATGTGAAGAACTGGCCATGTTCCAATACTTGTCATTCTCAATTAAAGAAGTAAATTATGTTGCCCAAGTAATGTAATTATTATCAGCTTATTCAATGTGGATGCTTTCACCACAGAATCCCAGTAAGAAAGAGTGCAAAAATGGTAACATTGTCTAAATTTGAATAAAGTCCCATAAGCATGCAGGAAGTCAGGCAAAGTTTTTGATCAGCAAACATTTGTCCTTCCATTCCTGCTGTGCCTTTTATCTGACTTGTTAGCAATCGCATTAACTAATTGTTTTAAATCTAATATTCACATCTAATACTTTAAATCTAAAATCTAAATATTTACTAAAACTCTAATATTTTACTCTGCTGAAGATTGATAAATTTGCATATCATATCCAAGAAGTGCATCCATTAGTTTCTTTTATTCAACCACATAATCACTTTCAAAAAGTGAGGTATTGACTCAGGGAACAATATTCAATATCCTATAATAAATTACAATGGAAAAGAATATGAAAAAGAATAAAATGAACTATACCTCAATTTAAAAAGTGAGGGACTTAAATGTAAAATACCTTCAGTGTTAATTATTTTGAAAAAAAGTGAAGCAAAATTTATTATTATAGATGATTTTTGAAACTCCCAAAAGAATCATTTTATGAGAAGTAGTAAGGTATGTATATATGATTTTAAATTACATATGTACATGTGAACACATATGTGTATATATGTATATATGTTATATAATTCCTGCATATATATATGTATACACACATATGTATGTGAAATCATGCATGTTATATGTATGTGCATGAACCCAGAGGTTAGACAAACTAAATACTAATTGCTCTCCTGTGCTATTTCAAATTTTCTTGGCCATGACCTTGAAAACATTACATAACTTACTAAGCTTCAGCTTCTTTAACTAGAAATTCAGTACAACATTGCTTTTAGTATTGCTTTTATAGAGGTTTTTAGACTAAGAAAAGATAATGCACTTAGAAAATTATGAAACTCTATAAATATAAATGTTAATCTTTATCACTTTATCAAAAAATCTATTGACTGGTTCTTACCATGAAAAAAATCTCCAGAGAATATTTGACTTGCATATATACCTCTTTTAAATAAACAACTATGAAAACCCCTCTGATTATGGTAAGGAAGTATAAGGCAACATGTGCAGAATTATCTTTTGTAGTATGTATGGAAGTACAAATGCAGAATTTTAATATTAGTTTGATTATAGTTCTAAAGACAAAGTTTTAGATTGTGAATGGCTTCTAAACAGGATACAATTAATTAATTATCCATCATTTCCTTCAGGTAAGTCTCTGTTTACTATTTAAACATGTCAGCTTTGGAACTTTTTGTTTCGGGAATAGTAAGAAAAGCCACAGGAACCGAACACATGTACTTGGAAAAAATGTTTCCCTATACATCAAACATGTAATTGTAGCGTCTTTTGTTCTTGACTGATCACTTAAAACTCATTTATTGGGTGGCACTACCTAATTAAAAGTAATATCTAACATCTGGGTAGGATGGAGCAACCTTATGCTACACTTGAAATACTTTGCTTAAAGGAAAAAAAAAAAACAGGCTTTCCTGGAATAAGCTCCAATAAATGGTTGGAAGCCATCATGTGAAATGTGTGCTAGATGAAATTACCTAAAGTGAACAGTAAGTCATCACTCAAGTTTGGCCAATTAAAGTGTTGATAAGCTCTTAAAGGAGCTTTAAATATCTATTTATTCTAAAATAAGTAATAGTTAATATACTTCACCCTACATGTAAAGTAGTGTCTAGTAATAATCTGCATGGGTAGGATTTTTTTTCACTTTTTGAGCTACATAGATTATAAATCCCTTTATAAATTAATGTGATCATAACACAGAAATCCCTTTAATAAGTATGGACTTAAGAATATAGTTATCAGGTTTTCTCAGACAGCTAAGGCAGGATTTAAAAATCACCCTAGCAGAAAGTACATTTCCTGGGTCCAGAGAATTCTGGTATTAACATCATCTGAGGATCATGTCAGCTGAAAACAACATCTGACAGTTGGGATACAAAAATGAGTGAACAGATGTAAAAAAATAAAATAAAATAAAAAAGGGAGAAAGGATAAAAGGAAGAAAGAAAGAAAGAGAAGGAGGGAGAGAAAAGTGGTCTACAGATCAAATTGGACTTTGTTCTCCTTAATTTTATTATGATTAATTCTAAAATAGCTCATTAACATTTTTAGAATCAGTTGACAGAGAAAAATCTGGCATGCCCTCTATCACTCAATAGAAAAACATGAACCATATTTTTAAAAAATTTTAAGTTTCTGGGGACGGTATTGCATATCCAGCTGACACTGTGTCCTCGCCCTTACAGGTAGATCCAAACAGCATTGCTGCCAAAGATGGCCGAATTCGAGAAGGGGATCGTATTTTGCAAGTACGTGGTGCAGTTATTTTCTCTAGTTTCCTTCTATCTGTCCAACAGCTTTCATTTTATTTCACACCTTGAAAAATGTTAGAGAAAATAATTTCCCTTTGTTTCTGGTTAGTAACATCTACAAAACTAAAAGCTATCATTCAAACCTTTTTTAAAAAAAATTGATAGTGCCATTTATTAAGGATTATTAGCTAATAATTAATAAGACATAATCTCTGGACTCAGATACCTCAACTTCAGCTTCCAGCTCCATCACTTACTTGGACGCTTTACTTAACTTCTCATTATAAGACTGTTTCCTCCTATTAAAGAATGATAACAGTAAAATATATTGTGGCAAAGGTTAGATGTGATTAAGCATGTGATGTACCTAGTGAGTAATAAGTGCATGGCCAGAAATAAGTGTATGGTGTGTAATAAGCATGAACTGCTGTTATTACTGGCATCAGCAGCATTTATTGCTGCCTTTTCCACAATAAATTAGGTAAACAGTGATTCCAGTATTCCATTATGATGAAAGTTTATAAATATGAAGTCTTAACTATTTACAAATGAGTTGCTGAGGACAGGTGGAGGATGGATACGTGAAAACATAGAGATGGACTAAATTTCCATTTAACAACAGAGATGGTACCACCTTATGGGAGGTGTGTAGACTGGAAAGAGTTCCAAGCCAAATCAGGAAAAACCTTGAAAGGCAAAGTTTCTATCATAAATCTTCCTTGACCCACTGTGTCACTTCTGAGTCCTTTCCCATAAAGAGAGGCTGTAGGAAGACACACAGCACCCCAGCTCTTGTATCCAATTTAACCCAAAAAAATAACAACAGAGGCCTTTGAATTTCGCTGCAGAAAAAAGAAAAAAAAAAATGAAAGTGTTAGTCGCTCCTTCATATTCAATACTGCAACCCCATGGACAGTAGCCCACCAGGCTCCTCTGTCCATAGAATTCTCCAGGCAAGCATACTGCAGTGGGTTTCTGTTCAGTTTGGTTACTCAGTTGTGTCCGACTTTTTGTGACCCTGTGGACTGCAGCCTGTCAGGCTCCTCTGTCCATGGAATTTTTCAGGCAAGAATACTGGAATGAGTTGCATTTCCTCCTCTAGGGACTGGAGTAGGTAACCATTTCTTTCTCCAGGAGATCTTCTTGACCCAGGGATAGAACCCTGGTCTCCTGCATTGCAGGTAGATTCTTCATCATCTGAGCAATGAGGGAAGCCGATCACACCTGTAAAACAGGAAGGAGAACTCAAATGACACATTGAAGAAGTTACAACCTGTTGATATATTCTGCAAAACTTTTAGTTGTTATCTCTATCATTCCCATTTCTCCTTCTTAGATATGAACCCCTGAAAAATATTTCTTTTGATTCAATGCATTTGGATTCAACACTCTATCTGGAACCAGGGCTTTAAACTAAATAAGCTGTCACAGCACCCTTTGGGGCACTCCCTGGGTAATTAGGAAGACAGCTGCATACACAGATGATGACATTACAATGTGACATTGTTGTGAGAAAGTTTTGCCACACCAGAGGCCTGTCCTACTCAGCCTTCTGCTGTTTCCTTTCCTTTCTTTAGGGGGACACTCACCAAATCACACCACTTCTCCATACTCTTTCCCTTCTCAAGTGAGAGGCCACGGAACTCCTTTTTCATCAGGGACTCTCTACTAAAGCTCCAATTAGGAAAGAACTGGAGATTATTCATTGTCCCACTAGTTCTCAGGAAACTTCAAGAATATATAATTTCAACTCTAGTGATCTCCTTTCTGGTTAAACAAAATGGGATATGTCTGTCACTGGATAATTCAGGGGCAGGAGAAGTTAATCAAGAAGTTAAGATTTAGCCTTGTCTGCTACTCTATTTTCAATATCTCTTTCACACATATAAATAAATCAGGGGATGAAACACAGATATTCAGTAGAAAGAGTGACAGGATAGATGGAGGAGTAAAGTTTTAATTATGTATCCTCGTAAATAAAAAGCACATTATTTTAGTGTATCATCCGGATAACAAAGCTTCAAAAAATATTTCATTAGTATATGACTTATGAATCATTTTAAATGTGTTGTTTACCTTGTTAATATCTTCAATTAAGTAAACTGAAAAGAAAGTAACCTTCCTTTGATGCTGAGGGTCACATCATACCCAGCAGTCACCACCCAATGCTATAATGGAGTAAAATGCTCGGTGACTGAAAGGTCTGGAAGATTGTGTGCCCTGATATTAAATGACCCTAGTTGGCTGCTTTTTCTGTTGTGCTGGGTCCCTGTTTTGTCATTTTCCTCATGCTGTTACCAGCTGTCACTCTTGCCTCTCACCTTCTACTCACCACACCCCGTATTCAATATTGTAGCCTCACAGACTCCCTTCCTAGTTTCTAGCTCACCACATCCCAAATACAGTTAGTAAAATACAGTTAGATACACAATACACAAATACAATTAGTAAAGTGGCATCTGTTAGCTCTGCAGGTAGAGTCCAATATATGTAGAGTACATGTGTTTCCATAGTTGCATACCATATGTTCCGACACTTCCTTATTTTTGGCTATGTTGTGGGCAGTTAAAATTATCAGATAAAAAATTTTCTGGATAATAAGGCATCCCGTAATGGAGCTGGTTCAGTTGAAACAGCAGCAGGATTGATAAAGTGCTGTGGTTTGCCTGATTAGTTTATATTCAGTGACAAATATGTTACATCTAATGAATAAATACCTGTCACATTAAAAAGCCTGGAATTCAATTCTATCTGCACACACAGGAAACAAAGAGTCTTAAGAGTGATAGTAAAATTATATTAAAGAAAACCGTGACAAAATTGTACTCATAGACAAGTAGCTCCTGTGTGGCTGGTAAGGAGATTATGGGATACATTGTAATGAACAATTAATGACTCCTTTCCCAGGGAGATGAGAGGAGGAGAAAGAGAGGATATCTTCTCATCCTTTAGCTTTCCTGGCTGGCTTTGATTTGAATGAGTCTTGTTAAAGCAATTGTGATTTTAATTTCCTGTTCACAATGACCTAAGTATAGTACTTCTATGGCTCTGCCCTCATTGTGTAGCTAAAATTTTCTAACTGTAGTGCTCCGTGGACGTGTTAGAGGACCTTCCTCAGTGGCATCACACACACACGTGTATTCACACAATCTTGATAGAAGGTAGGGATCACACAGAAGAGAAACTATGACCCAGCCTCATGAGGACACATTCTAGCTCTCTTGTGTTTTTGTTTTTTTTTTTTCCCAAGTGCTTGACAGTCTATTTGCTGTGCTATTGCTACCAACTGGTTGTATTAGATGTGTTCCCAGGAATTAACATGGGGAAGTCCTTTAACAAAATTGTAGTGCTGAGCCACAGAGAAAAACTAAAGACACATACATGATTGGCTATCTAAAGGAAAGTGTGTTCTATTCTTGCATTCTCTTTGGCATAGTAAGCATATAGAATTCCATGTAAGTATATATTATTCTAATCTTGGCCAGAAAAGCCAGTCATGTTTCTAAGGATTATTCCCTGACAACACCCTGCAAAAGCTCAAAACAGTGGAACCTGATTAGTTCTTCTAATTAGAACCTCTAATCAGGTCTTTCTTTCTCTGCCCTAAACTGGTCCTTAGCATTTCTTCCTATTCTTACTTGCTTTTTTTGGATAACTATTTTCCTTATATTTGTTTCACATCTGTATCTCTATGCTTCCTTTGCCTTCTTTTTCACAGTAAAATATCAATACAGTTGACATAAATCTTTCCTCTTTTGCCTAAGATTTTTGGGTTTTCAAATAAGAAATTCTACCACCTATAGTTGGTTGAATGCCAAGAGCTTTAGTTGCCTACCTGCCCATGGTACACTGACATGAAAAACCTAAAAATTGTCATATTTAAACAAAAAAGAAGTTATATTGAGACACTTCTAGACTTCTAAGTTTTTACACATATTCACATACCAAGTCACTTCAGTCATGTCTGACTCTTTGCTGCCCTATAGACTATAGCCTGTCAGGCTCCTTTGTCCATGGGGTTCTCCAGGCAAGAATATTGGAGTGGATTGCCACATCCTCCTCCAGGGGATCTTCCTGACCCAGGGATTGAACACTCATCTTTTATGTCTCCTGCACTGGTAAGGAGGTTCTTTACCACTAGTGCAACCTGAGAGGCCACACATACACACACACACTCATAGGCATGAACAGGCGATGAGGCCTAAAGTGGGATTTTGGCTGATTTCTCTTTGTAATTGCCACAAATCTCTTCTAAGCCAAGATAATATCCATTTTGAAACTAATGTTTACATATGCACAGAAAATGAGACAGATGTATTATCCAGCAGGCTTTTTTAAAATTTATAACAAAGTCACATATTGTCTTCTTCCTCTCTCTCTTTTCCCCTCTATTGTCTTGAAATGGAAGTCTTTCAGTAAATAGTGATGACTCTACTCCTCATCTATGTCCTTCCTTCGTTTCCAGCTCCTTCACCCTTTCTGTGTGGTGTTTCCAGGCATAGGAAGCTGTTTTCCCACAAGCAATCTTTTAGCTATGAGCCATCATTCAGGAAACAAAGCAAATGAAGGTGGAAAGCTCTGTTTCCATTCCTCAAGTCTTTTCATTCCATGAAAAGAATCTTTGATGAAACCTATGGCTGCATTTTTTGTCTCAATATCAATCTGAGTATCAAACTAATGTTCCAAGTACAATGGAATCTACTAACCAGGTGGCTAAGGTGACCTTTATTTTTAAAAAGAAATAAAAATTGCATGTTAATGCCGGTTTTCTGTGGCAAGCTTATTTCACTCCACCTATGATTCTGGATATAAACTGTTTCTACAACATATGATCTGTCCTCCCAAAATAAGTACATAATGCCCAGACTGAAGATCATAGCTCTGGTCATTATGAGTTCACAGAGGAGATAGAAGAATACCAACTATAAAGGAAATCAAACTCAGCCATAGTGTTTCTTGATGACCTTCTAAGAATTAAAAATACATATGAGATAGATATCCCTTAAGCTAGAACCATGTTCAGTATTGTGGATTTCATTGTTATGCATGAATTTTAATATATTCGCTTTGTTTAGAAGAAAAGAATCTTTCTGAGGGATTAAAATATAAATAATCATAGTAATAATAATAGCAACAATAGCATTAATAGTAATATATACCAACCTTGTGCGCTTTCTGTATACATCACATATTTAAACCTTTTACATATATTAACCCATTTAATCCTGTAACAGCCCTCTGAAAGAGACACTATTATCTGCATTTTAATAGAGAAAAACATAATAGCAATATTAACATGAATGAAGAGTATTTAGAGTAATGGTAAGTAAAATTTACATGAAGAATTTGGAAGTGAGAAAAAGTGAGAACTGCATTTCAAATTTTTCATGAAAGTTTAAGTTAAATTGTGTGAGATCATCCAACTCATTCTCCTGAGGATCAATGCGCCTACAAAGGAGGGAAAAAGAAGACTAGATGCAAAAGAGAGATAGACACATAGATGAATCACAGATACACTATAAGAATTACTATGAAAGGGGTGCAAGTCCTCAAAACTCAAAGAAAGTAAAACTTTTCATATTGTTATTTTTAAACTACACACAGGTGGGGGGAGTAATCCTCCACTGCCAATTTATGTTTATTTAAAGGAAAAAAGGCCTTGGACCCAGTACAGAAATAGCTTTTCAGATATATATTTACAAGAAAAAAGAAAACTACAACATATCCTTCTGGGTCATTAGTCCCCAGTTTGGAATCAAAGTTTTGTTTTTGTTTTTTCTAATTTGATAAATTTTATTTGGAAATTGCAAACAGAAAAGAATAGAAAATAGACTTGAAAATTATAAAAGCTGAATTTCCTGTCCACACACACAAGTGAAAAACTGAGGAGCTGTTCATTTGATTACATTAAGAAAATACAGCATATGGTTGTGTGATTTTTCCCTTCTTTGACTATTACTGTCTGCTTCCTTCATACTAAATATGAGTCTATAAGGATCATTGATTGTGGTGCACAGATGAGATTCCTGAGCTTGTCTTCAAATAATTATGTTTGTCTTCATGAGTCAGCCAGAATCCCAGAGACCCACAAGGAGAAAACCTCAGGAGCCCACTTCATGCTTTTAAGAAGAAATTCTCAACGAAAGATGTTAAATTAATTATTGAAAATAGTGGTCAGTGCAGCCACATTTTGTTTAATTTATTGACATAATTAATACTTATTTTAGATAGAATTACTTGACCTCTTCAATTGAAATTTCTTTCGACTTTCTTTGATTATGCGTTATGGGTCAAAAATCTCATTGTCTCTATGGAATGGAATGATTATAAAGTAAAATAAATTTATAAAGGGCAAAGAAAAAATACATCAATAAGAGCTAAATACCTTTGAACATGAAAATGTAGTTTAAAATGCAAGTTTTAGGAACCTTATTTTCTCTGTAACACTTAGAAAAAAAATGGTACATTTCAAACACTACTAGAATCTATTGTTTTAATAAAAAATTTACTCAAGCTTGGCTTCTTCCATAAGCATTCCTATTAAACAAAACATTTTTTTTTAAATTTAAGTATACTTAAGAGCTGAACCTTATTTCATTAGTTTTGTTGCTTTAGCGAAGCAGATAAGTCTGAGAAAAAAGCTGGAGTAGACGAGGATGTTACCGATGAGCTTGTCCTCCTCGTTTGATTCGTTAAGCATCAAAAGATATCCAGAGAGTGATTTGGGGCAACTGAGTCAGACCCACATGCAAATATGAGATGATTAAATGAAAATGCAAGCAGCAGCGGCCCGGGAGCATCACCCGGTGAGAGATAACACGGCGGCTCTCTAATTGGCTCACAGCGAGCGCGCAGGATGACGGATTTCAGTTGTGGTATTGCTGGGCCTGCTTTCCCCAGCACCATTATCTCAGAGTGACACTTCCATTACTCTGAGCGGAGAAAGATGAACGTCACCTGTCAGGGGCTGGTTAATTGTGTTGCTAGATGTATGTTGCCAGGGCGCAGGTTGGACATTTATGAACATAACTGCTTCCTCTGATGTCCGCCATGCTTCAGGGGTCGATATGCCTCTTACAGTAAGCGCATAATTGAGTGAAGGCACTTACCACCGAGGGGCTGAAGGCGAGCCCATTGTGTGAGCTTCATTGTCCATACATTTACCATAAATGAGCTGATATTTGCCATTTATTGTGTGCAGCATTGTGGAAATGGAAACTAATGCGCCACTTTCATTTGTTTTCTAGATAAATGGGGAAGACGTCCAGGATCGCGAGGCGGCAGTGGCCCAGCTGTCTAGCGATGAGTGCAGGAGAATCCTGCTGCTGGTTGCAAGGCCAGAGAGTCAGGTCAGAACACAGAGCAAAAGCCTTGGACTGAACCTTAGGTTCATCGTCTGCTATTCCACATCAGATCAGTGCCACAGTTATTTGTAGAACCAGGCATACAAAATAGAATCCAGTCATTTCCAATTTGCCAACCTTATCAAAACGATTATAAGTAAAGACTCCTTAATATTGCTCCACATAAAGGAAGCTAAACAACTTATTTTTTAAAAGAAACACGAAATTGAATAATTACTCTCTCCTTCCACTTGCCAGTTATTTAAAATTAACTCATAAATGAAAAATGATTGACCTTACATGATATTTAATTCTGTGTGCATCCCTGCTTTAGGTTGCCATCTAAAAATACTTAATTGGCATATTAAGGTATCTTAAAAGAATCTCTAATGAGAGAAATATTAGCATATCTAGCTATCAACTCAAATCTTTTTAGAGTGCCTTTATCAAATAAAATATCTTAGGTAGCATGATATGGTTCCATGTATAGTAGATGAATTTTTTCCAAGTTTAGCATGACAGACACGTCTGTCTGGCCCAAACCAAAAACTGAGAGCTTCTAAGGGATTTTTTTATATCTTTACAGAGGGAGATGTCATGAAAGTAAAGGAGAGGTAATGGTGGAAGCAAAGTACTATCGGTACTTCTTTTTATGTCCTTTTATCCCCCACCACAATGCAGAAAGGACCTTACATTGTCACCATTCTATCTTTCTGTCAGTAGTTTGAGTGAAGTTGGTTATATCACCATTTGTCTTTTAGGTTATTGATCTGATATTTTTCAGACTCAGTAACTACATCCTATCTATAAATTACATTGAGTAAGTGTATTTCAGTGTCAGACTGAATCCTGACTCGAATATAGTGGTTATAAAAGATCACCCTTTCCGCATATATTTCCTTTATGCCCTTGACCATTCTAAATGGTTCCCATAAAGCCTGCCATAGCCCAGGGCAGACTGAAGTTTCACACCTGAGGTCTTGGGAATGGGGTTGGACAGGCTGCAACTGGCTGGGCTGCCTATGTGAGAGTGAATTATTAAAATATGTATGAAATTGCACTAATTACTTGGAAATTTGGCAAACCAGTTAATCTCAATGACCCCATTTTCTCGAAAAAGAATAGAGAGGCTAAATACATATTAGTGAAATTAATGGTAAATTGAAAAGAGCTCAATAGTCACCCTTTGTAGAAAAGATACTTTGACTTTATCATGTGGTTTCCCTGCCTTTTCCATGAAACTGCTAGACAACCTCATTAATTTAGAATTAAAGCATTTGCTTTACTATGCCATGTAACAGCTATAATGCACTGTGGAAAGAAGAGAAGTTAATAGCAGAAGACCAAATCCTGTTAATCTTTGATAGCTTAAATATTCTCAGTAGAACCAGTGGTGGTTCTGAATAACTGACTACACTTACTACACTCCTAACCCAAGAGTTAATGTTGGAGGATGAATTTTCAAACAATACTTTCCACAATTGATAAAAGATGGTCATCTGACTCTGAAGGATACCATGCTGTCTGACAAAAGTAGGATCTTCCTTAGCCCCTTGATCCTGAAGATAATGCCACTGATCTTAAAGATAATGACACTGATATGATAATGAAGCTGATTGCCTTTAGAAAACCAGATTTCTAGAAAAATAAGGAAAGAAAATGCATTGTAACACCATACTTTAAAATGTAATTTAAGCATTACATGCTATAAAGTGGCAAAAGCAAAACAAAACAAAACTTGTATTTACATCACCATATTCTCCCATCAGTTTCAATATATTTCATTATTGCATTTTTGTGTGTATATTTTATTTAGAGAGAGTATGGAAGTTTATGTGTCATTTTTCTACCCTTAAAAAAAAATGTTCCAAATACTCTCAGAAATGATTTACAGAGTTGCTGGGGGCAGTATTGTGCAACCATGCAATATTTTTAAATAACTCATTTCTTTCATTCCCTGTCAACTTACTTTCATTTTCTGCCCATTTTCTTCCTTAGACCATTAAAAATATTGCTATTTTGTCCTATTCCCCTTGGGATACTGGGTGAGAACAGGCTCTTGTAAGAACTATAGAGAACTTTTGAGATAGTGCAGCTTGTTCCTTTCTTTGAGATGCCACATGTGCGGACAGATCCCCCTGTATAATTATGACTATGCTCAGCTCCAGGGAAAAGTCAGTCTGCCAGAGCACTGGACTCACACTGCCATATTTATGTCAGTCTGTCACATTATGGAAAATGTGACAGGAAAGGGAGGTGAGCCAGAAGAATCTCTCCTGACAGTGTGTTGTGTATTCCTCCAGCCTAAAGGGACACCTTATCAAAGCACACGGACACTTACCACCCATGGCAACTCAGGGATCTGTGGGGTTAGCTAACAAGAAAAGGCTTATAGGGAACTGTTAATTTCTATCATTTGTTCTCTTTGTCTTCCCCACCCCTTCATTTCAATTTCAAAAGATTCTGTTCTATCATTCACTGTAGCAATGTTGGCAAATATTTTGTTTTGACCTGATTAAAGAAACATTCCTTGGTATGCTTATAAAAAATAAACAGTTCTAGCTTTAAGTAATTTCTTTTGGAGTCTGGCATTTGCAACTTCATGAAACTTAAAAGGGATTAAAAAACATGAAACTTGAACAATTATGAATTGGACTGAATTTAAATTTTTAGTCAGCTTAATTTTCATAGCTCATCTGCATATCAAAGTCACTGGGGTGGAACTTGGTCAAGTTATTCAGGCCAAGTTGAAATAAATGAGGATGAATAAATGCATTGATGCTTTTGGCCCAGTCAAGTTTGAGATAATTTAAGGTCTAGGTAGCCTTTAGTAAATAAAAAAGAAACCTATGATTGCCTTATTTTAATAATATGATGCATATACACTAATGCCTCTTCTGATGCAATTTAATGTTTTCTCAGGGATTCCCAGGTGACTCAGTGATAAATTAAAAAATCCACCTACCAATGCAGGAGACATGGGCTCGATCCCTGGGTCAGGGAGATCTCTTGCAGGAGGGCATGGCAACCCACTCCATTATTCTTGCCTGGAAAATCCCATGGGTAGAGAAGCCTGGCAGGCTACAGTCTGTGGTGGTCACAAAGAGTTGGACACAACTGAGCATGCACACAGGTTTATTTGTGTTTAAGTTTTAGAAGTTCAGCTCTCTTAAAGACAAGCTTGTTTTATGTGTTTGTTTGGTTCTTAAGCATTAGTCTGGTAGTGAAAACATCTCCCACTCTTGTTAATTTTGACTCACTAGAAAACTGCTGTTCCACTGTAACAGAGTAAAGAAGAACTTTGACAATTATCCAGTTAATTCAATCAGTACAGACAGCTAATTTATGTAATCCAGCTCCAAAAACCCACTTTGAGGCAAATTATCTGTATTGACTGTCAACACTTATCATATTAACAAGATAACCATGAGTTTTCCACTTCCCTTTGTATTAAGAAGCCAAAAGAATTTGCTTGGTTTAGTTTGTGTAAGACTCCCACAAGAATATCTGCCTTCAGCACCCACAGACAAAACCCTGCATGCTTCACACAGCTCCCTCACCCTTATATGCAACATTTAAGGTCTTTTTCCTTGGAATTGGGTCTGAGAAATGAATCATAATAGTTATACCATAGAATCACTTTGCTTTTGAAAATACCTTGGAATTTTCCTTTTTTTCAGATAAAGTAAATGTGTGTATTTGTGGCAAGGAGTCATCTTGTTAACTTGAAAGTCATCCACCTCAAAATCAAAAATAGAGTGAGGGTAGCAAGAGGGAGTGTGTGTGTGTGTGTGTGTGTGTGTGTATTGAGAGGTGCATTTGGTATGGAGTTGCTTTGGGGTTGTTGTTAAGGAAAAAGGCCCTATTGTCTCATAGCACTATTAGTACCACTGCAGTTCTTTAGCACAGGGACTGTCGGAGGTAATGAGCATGACAGCTGTGGATTATGCAGCATGCTTTTCATACATTTTGAAAGACGGTAATGTTCTGTGCTGTGAGATCTACTCAGTTATGAGAGAAAATCTGTGGTTCTGTTTTAGGAAAAGATAAAAAGCATATGAGCCCAATTTTTTTTTAACCACCTTTTCTTCCTTCTGAGAGGTGAACTATAGGAGGCTGGTATTTTGAAGAGAATCATTATGATAAAAGGAACTAGTCAGGCGTCACCATTTAAGTTTACCCTATTTTAGCATGAGTCCTCACTAACAGAATATAATGTACTAATGTATTCTTATGTAGGTGGATGAAGGCTGGCTGGAAGATGAAAGGAATGAATTCTTAGAGGAGTTAAACTTGGCGATGTTGGAAGAACAGCATAATGAAGCAATGCCGCGCCCTGCCGATGAGGTGGAGCAGGTAGGACCGCGATCTGAACTCCATCATTGGAAAGGATGCTATTCTTCCTTAAATGCGTAATCTTAAATGAAATTTTTTTTAAAAATCAAAGAGTTTTAGTGAATATCTCTGTGATGGTAATTTCTGAAGGCAAAAGATCATCTCAAATGAAACGGAGGAAATAAATACAATTTTTTCTATTAAGAATATTTTTAGCTTGGGAAGCTTAGGGCCCATTATGGAGGGCACAGTAGTATTCAGGTGCTGACTCAGGTACTGTTCAATGTAATTCAGAAATTTAATAGTAAAAGTATATTTTGCCGCTCAGTACACCAGCTGGAGATAAACTATATCTCATGAGGTAACCCCTCCTCCCTAAAAAGTTTTTTTTTTAAATTTTGTAATATCAATGTAGATATTTGAATACTTGAATATCTACTTGATGATGACATGATTAAGCCATTGATCTTATTTGGATATTTAGTATCATGATTACACTGAATTACGAGTAGTTAGACTTGAGATTATTGACATTACTTTGTCTTAAGGTCACATATTCATTCAACAAAAAATTCTGAGCCCCTGATATACTTCAAGTACAACATTTGATCCTGAGAATACAAACAAAATAAGCAAAATCCCTTCCTTTAAGTAATTCATAACTGGTGAATGATCAAAGTGTGGTTTGTGGCAAACAGCCTTAGGAATCTTTTCATTTTTGTTGTCATTATTTTTTACTAGATAAAATTAAGATCAATATAGCCTAGATTTTTTGTCAGATTCATGTCATTCATTTCCCTGATATAACTGTATTAACACTATGCTCTCAATTTTCTGATTGTTTAATTATCATCTTATTCTCAACATTAATTATTAACTAACCCTAAAAGATAATTATTTTTAAAAGTCCTGACAGTTAGGCTTAGAACATAAAACACAAACATCCTGTCACTTTACCAAGCTGAAGGATGAGATACGGTGACATGCTGGCATCCCATAACAGAGGTGTGTGTGTGTGTGTGTGTGTGTGCACGCACGCATGTGTGCAGAATCACTAATATCAGTGCATATACTAATAATTAGGTTGCAAACTACAGTTGACAGAACCATGTGTTCTCACTATGGGTGCTCAGTGGCCACTTCACAAACAGTAGTTTATACTCAAAAGCAATGCTGCTACTGTAGTGATTGCTTTTCAATATAAGGAGGACAGATTGAAATTTTTCTGTGTGACTTCAACACTGGCCACAAATAAAGATATTTTTTTGGTGGCAGCTGCTGGTTATGAGCAAGAAAGTCCTTGCTCCAGGCTTTTTCTCTCTTAGATACAAAATGTGACCTGATACAGAATTGACAGGAGGATGTTGGGATAAAGAAAGAAGGGAGAAATCCTGTCCAGGTGAAGTGATATGGTGTCAGATGCTGCCTACTCATCAGACGTAATACAAATGCTAAGTCTTTTGAGGTAACACAAGATGTCCCTGAGGTTAGATTTTTACTGTGTAGAAATTTTTCTTAACCATGAGACTGAAAAATGATGAGAAATACAGAAACCTTTAAAAGTCCTTTGCCCTTATAAACAATAATAGTACATTAGAAATGTCTTGGTAGAAACATTGCCTGTCACTATGATGATTCCATAGGGAAATGATAAATTATAGAGTAGCATTATATCAGAAACCAGGAATTTTAGTTTTCAGAATAGAAAACTCTTTTTATTTTCACATGTGCTTGTAAATCAGTAACAAAAGAAAGAGAAATGCGATTAAAAATTGCATATCCATATATAAAAGCTAAAATATACATCCATCTGAAACTTTCACCTTACATGCTCTCCTTGGTCCTGTGACTGCTGTTGCACACATTTTGTCAACAAATTTGTCTATCATTTATACTCCGTAAGAAAAATATCACCATCTTGTATTTTTCAGCTTACTCTTAGACAGGAGAAAATATAAATATAAGTATTGTGATATATAAACGAAACTGTCCAATATCAGTAATACCCTCTGGGGATTTTATAGGGATTCCCTGGTGGTTCAGATGGTAAAGAGTCTGCCTGCAATGTGGGAGACCCAGGGTCGATCCCTGGGTCGGGAAGATTCACTAGAGAAGGAAATGGCAACACACGCCAATATTTTTGCCTGGGGGTTTATGGCGCAGTGTGCAAGTGACACCACATTTGATGTCACTGTCACCTTATAGCAAGGAATATAGATGTATCAAGTTCTCCATTATTGGTTATAATTACTTATGTAACTAATGTATGTATTTATGTATGTACTTATGTAGCTCACTAAGTCACTTCAGTTGTATCTTACTCTGTGCAACCCCTATGGACTGAAGCCTGCCAGGCTCCTCTGTCCGTGGGATTCTCTAGACAAGAATACTGAAGTGGATGTCCATGCCCTCCTCCAGGGAAACTTCCTGACCCATGGATCGAACTCACATCTCTTACATCTACCTGCACTGGCAAGTGGGTTCTTTACCACTAGTGCCTTATGTATAACATTCTTTTTTTATCAATAAGACATTTTAAATCAATCATAGTATGTTCTTAACAAATGAAGAAAAATATTTTATGGAAAGATTGAGAATCCTAAAATTAACATGATACATGGTCATGTTCTCCTTCCAGTTCATTATATTTTTTTTGCCATTACTTGATTGGACGAAAACAACAATGATCTGACACTTTCAAACCTGTTTTACTTTTTATCACCTATCCTTTCTTTCTTTGACACTAACAGGCTTAATTATATCTAATTATATAATTCCTGCTAAAGGGAAAAATGTATATATGTATAAAAGTGAGTAAGCTTAGACACAAGGAGAAAGCAATCTAGAAATTGTATTTGTAGACTTCTATAAGAGAAGTGATAGAATAAAGAGTAACTTTACCCTATTCACAGAGAAACAACTAGATATGCATCTCCCTAGGACAGTGACAGTTGATTGTTCTGCATGAAAAGCCAAAAATTACCAGGGAGTGAAGTTCACATATCTATTTACATACATATCTGTTGTTTGACATTATGCCCTTGTCTGGAAATCAGTGCTGCTCAGATTTGAGGGGAGCCATCATTTTACTCTCAGTAATATAAAACTCACTTCTGAAGGATATCACTGGCTAAGAGTAGAAAAATCTTTTAAAGTAACCCAGTGAGTCCTAAGACATTACTGTTGCTTTTGAGCAACATGATATGGAGATGCCTTGAAGTCAGAGTATATGTATGCAAGAATATAGCACCTTAGATGTAAAGAAGTCCTGTCTATGGAGGATGGCACTGGCATCCTAGACTTCCTGCCTAAGAAGTTACATCGATCTGGGACTGTTTCCTAATCTATGGACAAAAGGTCTTGGGCTTCTGTACTTATTCCTGAAATTTTGTGATATTTCATTTATTATCATGAGTGTATTACTAGATCCAATGAAGTTTCTTTTGAACTTGAGAAAAGTTCATGAAAAAAAGAAATAGTAACAAGTGATGTGGCTTCTGAACTCCAGACCTTCATTGCTGAAGACTTTTGGGATTCTGTCTTACTCCTCCTTTTGTATGTTATCACCTCAGAAACTCATAAAGTCACCTCATTTATACAACTTCACTCCAGTTTCTCAACTAAAAGAGAGCCTAAGACAAGAATCACTTATTTTAAATCACTCACTGAATTTTAATTTAATTATTTTAATGTGTTCTGTTTTATTTATCTTCAAGTGAGTAGCATAGCCATACTCAAGCAGCTTTTGTTTTCTTTATTTTAGAGCCAAAAAAGAAAAAAAAAAAAAAACACTGCCATCAGCCAATTGCCTTTATTTGTAAAACTGTTATGGATACTAAAATTAGGATAGCTTTCTAGGAGCTGAACTTTTGCCAAAAAGCATTGTTTTTTCAAACAAGTTTTCAATGACTGATTTTCAAAACAATTAACTTTCTTTCTTCTCTTAACTTTATTTTCCTAGCCAAAAAAACAAGAAGAAGAAGAAGGCACAACAGATACAGCAACATCCTCATCCAACAACCATGAGAAGGACAGTGGAGTGGGGCGCACAGATGAAAGCTTGCGGAATGACGAGAGCTCAGAGCAGGAGAATGCAACCGAGGATCCCAATGGCACATCTCTGAAAAGCAAAAGAGAGCTGGGGCAGAGCCAAGACACTCTGGGAAGCGTTGAACTTCAGTGCAATGAGAGTTTTGTGTCTGGCGAATACATTGACTCAGACTGTATTGGCAACCAAGATGAGGAGTGTGAAAGATTTCGGCAGCTCTTGGAGCTCAAATGCAAGATAAGGAAGCGTGGGGAGTATGACCTGTATTACTCAAGCAGCACAATAGAATGTAATCAGGGAGGACGAGAGGGAGTGGAGCACGAACTGCAGTTGCTTAATGAAGAACTGAGAAACATTGAACTTGAGTGCCAAACTATCATGCAGGCTCACAGGCTCCAGAAAGTGACAGACCAGTATGGAGATATCTGGGCATTGCATGATGGAGGATTCCGAAGTTATAACACCAGCATAGACACCCAGAGGGGAAAACTAGATGACATCCTTGAACACCCAGAAAAGTCAGACAAAGACAGTTCCAGTGCTTACAACACAGCTGAAAGTTGCAGAAGCACTCCACTCACTGTGGACCGTTCCCCTGACAGTTCCCTTCCAAGAGTGATCAGCCTCACCAATAAGAAAAACCTGAGAAGCACAATGGCAGCCAACCAGTCCTCTTCCGGACAGAGCACTAAAGAGTCAACCTGCACCAAAGCCAAAACCTCTGAACAAGGCTGTGTCATTGAAGGCAAAGAGAAGACTTCAGAAAGCAGCAAGCTTTCTGATCCAGAGAAAACCAGCAGTGAACACATCCCTTATCTCTCCCCTTACCACAGCTCCTCCTATAGATGTGCAAACATCCCAGCACACGCCAGGCATTATCAAAGCTACATGCAGTTAATTCAACAGAAGTCCGCAGTCGAGTACGCTCAGAGTCAGCTCAGCTTGGTGAGCGTGTGCAAGGAGTCTCAGAAGTGCTCAGAACCCAAGATGGAATGGAAGGTGAAAATCAGGAGCGATGGGACGCGGTACATCACCAAGAGACCCGTGCGGGACCGCATTCTAAAGGAGCGTGCCTTAAAGATCAAGGAGGAACGGAGTGGCATGACCACGGACGATGACACCATGAGCGAGATGAAGATGGGGCGCTACTGGAGCAAAGAGGAGAGGAAGCAACACTTGGTACGGGCGAAGGAGCAGCGGCGTCGCCGAGAGTTCATGATGCGGAGCCGGCTGGAGTGTCTCAAGGAGAGTCCCCAGAGCGGCAGTGAGGCCAAGAAGGAGGTCAGCATCATTGAACTGAGTCACAAAAAGATGATGAAGAAGAGAAACAAGAAAATTTTGGACAACTGGATGACAATCCAAGAACTGATGACCCATGGGGCCAAGTCCCCTGATGGTACACAAGTTCCTAATGCCTTTTTGTCTGTCACCACGGTATGACCCAATGGATGGAATGCAGCTGATTTTCAGAGGGTGCTACCAGTTTGGGTAGAGGATGCTTGCCTCGTTCAATGTGGCATTTTTATATATATTTTGTGACTCTTTATAGTTTAAATTTTTTGTAAGCAAAAATACCTGCTACTTTTTCATTTGTTTTTCATATATCGGTACTTCTTTTTGGCTGAGATTTTTTCTTTGACTTGTGATATATTCATATTACTCATTTATATATAAAAACAAGCAAAAGGAAAGAAAACAAAAAAACTTGCACAAAAATACTGAGGAGCCAATTAATTTCCTATTTTAATGTACCTACTATAGATCTAGATTTATTTCTCTAGTTTACTTATTTTCAACTTTAGTAACAACTCAATGCCAAAACATTTCTATGCTTGCTTCTTGACCTAATACATGTGAAATCAAACCTGATGATAAGTCATGTGCCACATCTTGTTTTACACATAAAAATCACCTCTTTTTAACATCCTGTTGTACATTTAACACATAAATGGCCATTATCTTTGTCTCAGTAAAGTGTAGGTGGACAATCTTCCTGTGGTATGTAGTGACACTGTTTATGTAGTTAGATAGTTGTGGTAATTGTGACAGTAAAAGAGAAATAAATTATTGATTATCCCTGAGAAAAGCTATCAAGGAGTGTTTTATTTCCATTGTTCCCTGTGGTTACCAGATATAAATTAGTTATATATGTATACTCTTTAGAAGACTCCTAATTGTGAATTATAAAATGTGTACATTTTCTATCCCATTTTCCAATAAATTGTTCTGAAATACTTCCCATAGATCATTGTGTCACATATTCTTACCAAGATTAAGTTATGTAGAGCATCTAAGAGTTGCTGTCTAAGCATTCAATAATCATGAGTTCATGCTCTCCTTGACTGCTACCCACGTAAAGAAAAGCCAAGAGCAATTTAAGGGATGATATGGAGACAGAGGATCAGTAAGTAGCTGAGACTGTTTGTAAGGACACTGTGTTACTCAGCCCAAACTGCCATAACAACATACAATATAGGCTGTGTGGCTTAAACAACAGGAATTTCTCACAGTTCTTGAGGATGGAAATCCAACATCAAGGCACCAACCAATTCAGGTCCTGATGAGGGCTCTCTTCCTGTTTTGTAAATGGCCTCCTTGCTTTGTCCTCACATGGCAGAGAAAGAGAGGAAGCTGTTTGGTGTAACTTCTTTTAAGGACACTAATCCCATCATGAGGGTCTCACCCCCATAACCTCATTTAAACCTAATTACCACCCAAAAGCCCCATTTTCAGCTTCCAACACATTAGGACTTAGAGCTTCAACATATGGATTTGTCATGGGGAGAGGCAGTTCAGCCCACAGGAGCATGAGCATTTGTCTAGTTCATCCTTTGGAAAGAAATACTTGGAAACTATCTTTTCAATAATTTTCAGCCTACTCAATTACACATGCCTTATTAAAAAGTGAGATTGTTAGATTATCAGATAGGATATTTGAGTCTAGCTTTTCATCATATAAACATCAACTATATCATATATCAATTACAATGCCTTCAAAGTAAAAGACCAGATAGGTCAATGTGTGTGTGTGAATTTGATCAAATTTTCATTCAACCCAAGAGATTGTTTTAACATAACAGAGACACAATATCTAAACATCTTTGAAGCTACTTTCCTGTTTAAAAATCTATAATAGCTCCTTACTAGCTCTTAAATCAAACTCTGATGCCCCAGCCTTATTTTCAAGGTTCTCCACTAACTTGCCCACCTTGCCTCCTGTGCCTCTAGGTTTTCTCTGAGTTGCTCTGGCTTCTGAGCAACCTGCCCATTTTTGCTGAAGTTATCTAATGTTATTTACCCATCTGGAGTTTCTGTGCCAAATCCCACACCTCTCTTGGAGAGTAATCACATGTACATTTTCTCTTTGGAGCCTGTTTTGATGACACTGGGTTTTCTCTGCATTTTGACATACACTATGATGTACCTGCAGTTTATTTTACCTTGAAGATTTTATCCTTCCATTATTTGGATCACATACACAGAACTTACTGTCTCCCTGCACAGAAATATAAAGTTCCTGGAGTCTGGTCCTTGAGTCACCTTCTTTGTAAATCTCTCATAGGATGTCATTTAAACAATAATGAATGTTAGTTGAGTTAAATTATTTTATTCACTTATCTCACTTATTGGTCCTTTTGTTAGTGTTTTCCTTACTCGTCTACCAGTCTAAGTTCTTACCTTTTAAAGGGCTATTACATAGACGGGAAGAAATAAATCTTATTTACATATAATAAAAAGCTGGTCTCAAAATTTTTAAGATAGTGATAGTAATAGCAACTTCAGTCAACTGAAAATTTCATCACTGCTAACTTTAATCCAATCAATAGAACTACTCTGAGTGCACCTAGAGCTAAATTTTGATCAGATGGTTTTAAATAAGAATGCCTCTCTATCTTAAAAACTCAGTTTTTTCCTGATCTAATGCCTATGGTTATTATTTATCCTCTTGAAACACCTGGGTTTAAATATTCATTGAATTCAAATTACTCCTATAGATAAATGCATTTGGAACCAACATGTAGATATTTTCCAGAAGAAATATGTACACATCTTACAGAATGCAGTGTTTCCAAAGTTACCAGCTTAATTTTACTTTTATTAAGGCCAAGTGTGCTTGCCAATTTTTTAAAACTGTGATGTTAGTGTTTTTCATGTCTGTGTTTATACAATTCTACAAACTGAGAAATGTCTTTTTCAAAAATCAGTGAAAATCTGAGAAGTGTTATGTTTTATCTTTCTACATAACATATCTTTGTGCTAAGCATGTTTTTTTTCTAGTAAATGAATAATAAACCTGCTGCTCAACAAAGAAAAATAATTGACTATATGTGAAGTATTTTATTTTAGTTCAAAAGATGTATGTGACTGTGAAGAGGAAAGAATACTTTACTTGGGCTTACCTTTGAAATTCCATATTTTTTATTGACAGAAATTGGTGTTAGGATCCATATGTGAATGACCTAAGGAGGGGGAAATAATGTATATTCTATGGGCGTTTCTTCACCGTGTGTCATGAAGAAAGCTATTGTTGCCACGTTATTTTGTGCAGACTGTCCCTTTAAGAGCACCCAACATGGCTTCCTCTAACATAACCTTTCCACAACTACATACTGATTTAATCCATGTCTTGCTACTGTGTCTAAATCTTCCATCTAAACATATTTTTATGCCTCCAATTAGTTGTTACTCTCTACTTCAAATTATTTTGTGATGGTGCCACTATTTGCTGCTCTGACACACATCACCTGAGTCTTCTCGAATTTCTCTTTTATCTGGTAAGTGACAAAGCAGTGTGACTTTTCTTTTCAAAATATGTCAGGTTGTCTTCCATACCCTTACCCAGTCATCTTTTGGTATATACTGTCTCCATCTCCTGCCTAATTACCTCGACAGATCTGGATTTGTTCTCCCTGGACACCTATCCTAGCCTCCCTAACTTGAGGCAGCAACACTGGGCCTCCTAAATATTACTTTCCTCACTTTGCTTGAATACCTTCAGAAACCTTTTCCTGAGCATAGGATAAAATCTGAATGCCTGAGATATTCATCAAGGACTTTATAATTTAACCTCAACTTTTTTTCTATCTGATCTCACACTTCTGTCCAGAAAAAAATTTCTAACTCAGATCTCAAGAAATCTGTGTTTTACGGAGTGGTGGTAGTTTAGTCAGTCACTAATTTGTGTCCAACTTTTGCGACCCCATGGACTGTAGCCTGTCAGGCTCCTCTGTCCATGGAATTTTCCAGGAAAGAATACTAGAGTGGGTTGCCATTTCCTACTCCAGGGGATCTTCCCAACCCAGGGATCAAATTTACATCACTTATGTCCCCTGAATTGGCAAGCGGATTCTTTACCAACTGCACCACTTGGGAAGATGCACCTTCATACTAATATTCTTCCAACTTTAATTAAAATTTAATGAAATTTTATTTTCTATTGATTTCTACTCTACTATTTAGTTGATTTCCATTATTGTTATTTGTATGAATAATCACGGGTTTCAGTTTCAGTTCAGTTGCTCAGTCATGTCCGATTCTTTGTGACCCCATGAACCACAGCAGGCCAGGCCTCCCTGTCCATCACCAACTCCCAGAGTCCACCAGACCCATGTCCATTGAGTTGATGATGCCATCCAACCGTCTCATCCTCTGTCGTCCTCTTCTCCTCCTGCCTTCAATCTTTCCCAGCATCACAGTCTTTTCAAATGAGTCATCTCTTCACATCAGGTGGCCAAAGTATTGGAGTTTCAGCTTCAACATCAGTCCTTCCAATGAACACTCAGGACTGATCTCCATTAGGATGGACTGGTTGGGTCTCCTTGCAATCCAAAGGACTCTCAAGAGTCTTCTGCAACACCACAGTTCAAAAGCATCAATTCTTCTGTGCTCAGCTTTCTTCATAGTCCAACTCTCACATCCATACATGACCACTGGAAAAACCATAGTCTTGACTATGTTTGACATAGTCAAACATGGACCTTTGCTGGCAAAGTAATGTCTCTGCTTTTTAATATGCTATCTAGGTTGGTCATAACTTTCCTTCCAAGGAGCAAGCGTCTTTTAATTTCATGGTGCAATCACCATCTGCAGTGATTTTGGAGCCCCCCAAAATAAAGTGTGACACTGTTTCCACTGTCTCCCCATCTATTTGCCATGAGGTGATGGGACCGGATGCCATGATCTTAGTCTTCTGAACGTTGAGCTTTAAGCCAACTTTTTCACTCTCCTCTTTCACCTTCATCAAGAGGCTCTTTAGTTCTTCTTCACTTTCTGCCATAAGGGTGGTGTCATCTGCATATCTGAGGTTATTGATATTTCTCCCAGCAATCTTGATTCCAGCTTGTGCTTCTTCCAGCCCAGCGTTTCTCATGATTTACTCTGCATATAAGTTAAATAAGCAGGGTGACAATATTCAGCCTTGATGTACTGCTTTTCCTATT